TAAAGAACTCATTTCTGTGTGGATTTTTCTGAAAAACGTTGATTAAAGGCATTTAAAAAATGTAAATTTCCAGTTACCACGGACTCTAAAGCTAAGGAAATAAGTAATCTTTGGCAGCCATTTTCTCACTAATTTTACCTCTGAAAATAGGTGACCCCCACCTCCTTCATTCGCAAATATCTAGACTTGTATTCAAGATAAAAGGATATTTTTTTCATCCAAATGAAGACAACTGAACAAGCTTTAAGATGATACCAATAACTCTACATGCCCAAAAACTGACGATAGCCTGATTCCACCACGCTCACTCACAATATAAATTATTAAAGTTCCCACTGCTTATTTATTGAAGTTCCCACTTTATATCTACTGCTGAAGTTCCCTTATTGAAGACGACGTTCCCATTTAATTTTTATTGAGGATGTTCCCATCTATATTTATTGAAGTTTCCACTCTATATTTATAGAAGAAGAAGTTCCCTCTCTTTATATCTATTGAAGTTCTCACGCTATATCTATTGAAGTTCTCACTCTATATCTATTGAAGAAATTCTCACTGTATATTTATTGGAGAAGTTGGCATCTATATTTATATATATATATTGAAGTTTCCACTCTATATTTGATTATACTGAAGACATTCTCCCACACTACACTGTAGTACATGTATATAAGGTACAGCCCACCACAAATCTGCGAGTACATAACTGAGAAATCTCTCTCTCTCTCTCTCTCTCTCTCTCTCTCTCTCTCTCTCTCTATATATATATATATATATATATACACACATATATATATATATATTTATAGCCCACCACCTCTCTGTAAACTGAGAGTATTATTATGTATAATCTTATACCTCTCTATACAACTGAGAACGTTTACTGTAGTAAATTATGTATAGTCTACCTCTCTATAGAACTGAGAGCATTATTATGTACAATCTTTTACCGCTCTATACACCTGCGAGCATTATTATGTATAATCTTATACCTCTCTATAGAACTGAGAGCTTTATTATGTATAATCTTACACCTCTCTCTACAACTGAGATCATTATTGTGTATAATCTTATACCTCTCTATAAAACGGAGAATGTTTACTGTAGTAAATTATGTATAGTCTACCTCTCTATACAACTGAGAATATCTGAGACCATAGCTCGTCCAAGTCGAAAACATCTTTTTTTTTCAGATAACGTTGGAACTAATCTATCGACTGCCGGCACCGATGTTCATCAAATTGTTACCAGTTATCTTGCATCAATCTGTTTTAATTATAATAAAGTAAGCAAACCAAGCACTCAGGCTGTAAAGAAAGAGGAGGAAGGCCACGCAAAATATGGATCGAGGGTGTCAAGGAAACCCTGAGAAAACGTAATATCACAACTGAAAGAGCTGCGGACCTGGCCTACCATAGAAAACAACATATTCCCTCGACGCTTAACAGCAACAGAGGACGCAAAAGTAAAAATAAAAGTAAGTATGTAAGTAAATGGTTCTGGCCCAAGTACACGAATTAATAAACAATGTTTTGTCTTCGTCTTTATCAAGAATGATTTAATGGGGGGAAATGTGATAACTTTAATAACAGTGCCATACTTTGTATACAAGAGGACGTTGACTTTTTTTCTCCTTTTGTAATATTATGGCTCCTCGCTTGCGCTCACCGTTTCGGTTTTTGAAAATTTCCAATCATCATATGTTCAAAAGGGAGTTTTGCTTGTATGAACCCATAGAGGTTATAATAGAACTATTTATAACCTCGTTGTATTAGTTTTAGTAGAGGGTTTTCGGCGCTCGCAACTGCATAGGGTCATATGGGCGCCAGAAGATTAGAGGTGTTACAAGAGAGTAACAAACATAAAAAAAAGAAGAAGGGGAGATAAGGACGATAGATGTTTCATAGGAAAGAAGAAGCAAACCACACCAGAACACCCGCCAACCATCCACAACCTCTTTGTATGAACAAGAGAAAGTTAAATAAAAACTATAACGAAATGTTACAGAACTGTATGGTAAATAAATATGTGTTTGTTTTCAACCTGTAATGGTTTGTGTGTGTGTGTGTGG